GATTCCTGACTTTTTTTAACATAAGAAGCTAAATTTTATTTTTATTTATGGTATGGATATGTAAAGTGAGAAAAGAGAATGCCCAGGTTTCTTTATATTATGTTCAAGATTTAACAGATAATCAAAGTTGAATAGTGATTTACAGTGGAATCCAAAGCGTACAGGATTCGCCACCTAATTGTATAGGTATCTCAATGTTGATGCCCTCACTGAAACCTGAACCCAATACGTTTCGCTTGAAACACAGAGTTACGAAATGTAACTTTAGAAAAACTTGGCTAAATGGCAATATCGACGCAATACGTGCAGGATGCTCATGTGCTAACCGACCGACCAATCGCAATGCTTAAAATTAACAACGAGAACTGCTAAGTATTTGATTATTCGATCTCGTTGCTTCACTTGCCTACTATTATTCGGACAATTTACTCTACTCGACTAGTCTCCAAACCAGAGCACAGCTCAAACGGAATCATAATTATATTTCAAAACAAAACAGGAAGTTAATTAAGTTAATGTTGTAGTGGGAAAAGTGTTATTATATTTATAATTTATGCACAATGATAAACTTAACCATTTATCCACTAGCGTGGATTAGTTAGCTGGCTACTGATGAAACTGGAAAACTATATGCTAAATTAACTCATAGATGAGGTGGGGAGGGATAAGTAGCACAAATATATATATATATATATATATATATATATATATATATATATATTGATTGTAGTAGTTGAATAAATGTTCATATACTTAGTTTGCAAGTACACTTTATTTCCTATGACGATTATCGTTACGCTATACAACTGGTCAATACAAAATAAGTGCAACAAGGTTCAGATATGTGAATACTCAGCGATTTCCATTTGAATATTGAAATCATTTGGTTTATCAATCTATTTTCAAAATCATCGTCACTTTTGTTTCGTTATATTACCTAAAATAAATAAACGCTGAGTCCAATTAATTTCATTTTTAACAATGACAAAGTGAGAAACATAATGAACAGGTCAAGTGAATTCATACAGTTAACAGAGAAAGATTTATACTAATAACAAACAAATCAGCAATAAATACAATTTTTCTCCCTAGTACTTTATTTCTTACAGAGGTGCAGGAATATATTAGAATACAATACTTGACCCATAATAATTGTGAAAATATATTTTTAATAACTTTAAGTTACAACGAAAAAATGATTGAATGCTTAATGTTAACTGGTATAATAATTGATTAAATTATTCAGTCAAATCGTTCTAATCATATGAGATCATGAAATAAAACATGGAGTACACAAATTCTTATCATGCCAGGTAATTGTCAAAAATATTACTTTCTAACTGATTTACTTCTTATTTCATAAAAGATATATAGATTAATTCATTTTACATCATAAAATTAAATTATATCGAATGAGTGTTATAAAAAGAGCATTCTCATTTTTAAAAGCTGAATAGTAAATTAAAAATTGGTAAGTACGCTCTTAGTCCAAAGTCGTCCAAAACTGTATACTTGTAAAAATAGTCTTAAAACTGAATGTTATAGATACAAAATAGTAAAGATCATAAATATTTCTCTAAACATAAACTTAGTATTTTAATTAGTATCCTGTACAAATATGACATGGATGGATGATATCATTTCTCTTTACGATATGAAAATAAATGTTAATGCTTGGCTAATAGCTGGACGGAAAAAAATTACACTAAATTTCATACCTTTTTAGGTGAAAATATAGAACACTTATAACGTTTATGTAGCATGAATTAAATCGTTGAAGATTATATTTCTCTTTAATTAAATAAACAACGACAAATATAATCATTCTACACTTTTGGAGAAGTTTATATTAAAACTTCACATTAGCCTACAGTATAATCAGTTCTTCGATGTTATCCAGAATACTAGATCAATATACTTTACATACCAAAATTATTTTATATATCAAAATATTCCTCTAGTAAATAAAAATAAATGCTGAGTGGAAATTCATATACGAGTATAAAATATATGAATCTAATGAACCTATAATCAGGACGTAGTGTGTGATGAAAATCAGTGAGCTATTTTCTTTTGTATACTGAAATTTGATTAAGTTAATTTTCCGGTCCACTTAATCTATTCTTCAAACCTTTTGTTTACTATTGTGCACATTTTACTGTAAACAAATATATCCATATAATAATAATAATAATAATAATAATAATAATAATAATCGCCTTCAATACTCAAATCACTATCAAAAAAGACATTAGTAATACAAGCAAGAACATGCATACAAAGGTATACATAATAACTTTGATAATTGATGAAAAATAGGTAGAAACGGTAAATAGAACTAAATGAGGAAAGGAAACTAACTATCGTCTATGATCATCTACTAACAGGAAAATTATTAGCAAGTATAAGTAATCTCTTGAAAACACCATCAAATATATATATAACTGAACTGGGGTAATTAACCTGCATAAATATACATTGCTGCGTGTGTGTGTGTGTGTAACAAGGAAATGCATCAATTTGTTACAAATATTATCATTGAGAAACACAAATAGAAATGACATAAACTGACTCAGTGTATGAAAATAATCCAATCTCAGTTTTATATTTGCATGAGAACACTTTTAAAGATAAATTCCGAAATTTTATACTTTAAGAAGCCGGGCAATTCTACATTTCGTTCCTCAAGAATACTGTCTGTTTCGGTGTGAACACATAATCTCAAATTCAATGACTTATGTGGCGCTTAAATATTTGTATGCCGCTTTGTACCAATATTTATGTGTTGAAATAAATACATAAAACCACCAAGTCAACAAATACTGAAACTAAACATATAAAGCAAAACAAAATTTAATAAAGTCGATGTATTGATTGGGTTATTTGTGATATAGTTTACTTATTTGAAACTAGGAAACTATGAAGTATGATTTTAAATGTACAGTATGATAAAGTAGAAAAAAACGTTCTAGTATAAACAGACAAATCACAAGTGAATTTAAAAATAACCTGATTATCTGCTGCTTAAACTTTTTGTTTAAAGTCTTCAGAGGCTTGAAAATCAATACAAAAAGAGTCAGTGTGATATTATTTAAAAGTGACAGGAATAGCAGGTGTCTGACAGATTCGGAGCACAGAGTGAGGAAACTCGGCTAATATTACCAACTTCTAATACTGGTGGCGTAGGTCAAATGAAAAATGAATTTATTGCAAAAGTTTATTCGGTTCTACTTTATGACTACAAACGTGGCAGTAAAGAAAATAGGATATACGTAGGTTACGAATATTTGTTAATTGATACATTCAAAGCACTGTTTATGTATGTTGGGACGACACAGTAAGTCGTACTGAGGTTGGACGAATGGTACTAGACAAAGAAGCAAATTGGTTCATGAGACAATGAATCTTTGTCGACTGAGGTGATTAGGACATATGATACGTATACCCTACCACTAACTACCTCGACTCGATATTATCTGGTATAGTAGGCTCGAAAAAAATAGAATAAAAACGTGACATCAACTCATGAAGTCACTGATTATGAGATTGAGAAGTGTAGGTAGGGTGCAAACTACCCAATTGAGATCAACGAGATTTTAGAGAGAAGACTCTAGACAACAAGGCTCGGAACTGTTTTCAATGGCGTAGATTCTACACTTCCTTTTCTAATCATATCTTCAATGTCATATCGTTTCTACTATCACTAATACTGCTACTAATTATCCTACTCAAGTATTGCGCTGAACTATCGTGATATGGCAACTTGAATAAATGCACATATGTTCCAGATTCTAAGTTGTATATAACTTACTGGCTGAAGTGTACTCATTCTTAGCCTTGTCTTAAACACCCAATATTTTAAAATTCCTATATTACGTAGTCACAAAGTTTCGTTCATGCCTTTCTTTCATTAAGAATTAGTTTTTCATCTTTGCCCTATAAGTCACTAAGAAGTGTGTTCATTTTGACTGAAATGTAACATGGATTTTCACTTGATGAATTTTACAAGCTTTTAACCATAATTATTGGCGTCATTCTTTTAATATTTACTAAATACATTGTTCTTAAACAATTGTTCAATTTGAAATGCTGTAAACTAATGAACTTTAATATTATGAAAACATTTTGTGCATTGATCATCTGTAAAAATGTTTCATCAAGAAATACAGTATAAAACTTTATTCTTATTAGCTTACTACCATTTAGGTCCGATAAAGCTTATAACCAACCTACTCGAAGATCGATGCTAATGTTACAACATTAATTTAAAACCAAACATATTTCATTCGAAACATACGTAATGTGCTTACCTAACTTAAATAATAATAATAAATCTCACCATTTCTTACAACTAGAAGTATGAATTGTGAAGTCATCCTTAAATTCGTAAATATGAACTGTGGATGACTCGAATCAAGTAGTCGTAAACACGTAAATTACGATTAGAGTACGAAATATCTATGTTTTGTAAGCGAGAGATGATCTGAACAGTATTGACTTATTCTAGCATTAAACCATCATCGACCTCTAATCGCGTTACGTGGAAAATACATTCTTCTTTCGAAAAAGTTATTAACATATACTCCGAAATAAGAAACAGTAGTGGGAAATTTCTTGTACACAAATAACAAAACTGTGTGGTGGTTTTGCCTAAAGACAAGAATAGTAAACTGATATCCTGAGATAATCTATAATCGATAGTATAATTTTAAAACTACCGTTAATTGCTTTGATAAATACAACATTATAAACAATTTTCTAGCTTCGTAACTTTCAATTTTCCCTAATTATATATACAAAATATGAGCTCCACTTAGATATCGTATATGAGAGTTTGTATGCTAATCTGTGAACAACATTCACTGGAATAATTAAAAATATTATTTAGCTATATTACAACTTAGAACCATGGAGGTTTAGTCAAAAACTGAGCCTATAAAATATGTAAACAGGTGTAAAAATAAATGTGTAGTGAGTGATAGAAACTAAGATAAACTTACACTATTCATAAAGGCAGTATTATTATTTGTATTACTGTTAGTAATAGCATTACTAGAGATACCAGTGTTATGAATATAATTATTATTGTTACTATAATAATTTATAATTCCATCAGCACTAGTTTCAGTAATAAATTGATCGAAATTAGCAGTTTGATGAGAATTAGATACAATGTTGCTATTGGTCGGTAGAGAACGATTTCCACCACTTGAAGATGATGACCATCCACTGACTGACTTATGTGTATTTAGATACGGGTTAACTTTTTGACGGTGTGATGCACCCTGTGATTTGGATGGAGTACGTGATTGCATATTAACGTTAACAGCTGCTATAGAATTATTATGTAATAATTTAGGAGTATAAGCTTGTTGTTGTTGTTGTTGTTGCTGTTGATGATGATCAACTGAACTTATATTTGTATGACTCTGATGCATACTGGTAACAGTAATTGGATTTATAACTCCAGTGACGGAAATAGTTGATATAGATGGAGATAACGGTCTTTGCTTACGAGATGGTAGTGGTGCAGTCGGTTTCTCTGTTGTGTTATTCGAAGCTGTTGTTGTAGTGATTGCTGTTGAACCTGTTGGTGATTGATTAATTTGAGAAAACAGATTAATAGGTTCCAGATGTAATCCAAGTGTTCTAGAATGGGTAATACTGTTGTTAAGAATTTCAAATGAATCAGAATAGACGGGACAACAGTGACTAGAATGAGAAGTATTGATAGCATTTGATGTGGAAATTTCATCCAATGGAATAGGATGCGAAGAACATTCTTTGGATGTAGAATTTATGGAATATAAATTAGCAGAACTATTATTTTGAGATTCAGCATAATACTGAAGAATTGGTTGAATGTGTGTATCGTCAGAAGACTGAGGTATTTCTAAACCAGAATGATTTGTAAGTTCATAAGATTTCGTTAAACAACCAGGTGTTTTAGTCTCAAACTGATCTAAACATTGTAGAAAAAACAAAGTAAATAAGTTGTAAATGAAAATTTCAATCATTAAAGTCATAGTACAAGATAGTTTTAAATATTGTTTAGTAACATTCAGACTCAAAAGTTGGAATAACACAACTTAATGTAGTATAACATTGGTTTAGACCAATCCATTTTAAAATAATACTGAGATAATAACCAAAAACGAAAAACAATAACAACTACAAATGTATGAAGTAGAATTTTGAATTTTTTACAATGTAATCACATCTGAGTGTATATGTAAATGAATGATTTTGAAGGCATTCCTATCAATAAATTAAACTTAATAAAACAGATAGAAACATCTATAATTTAAAAAGTGTTATCAATTGTGCAACAAGTTCGAAACCTACTGAATCGAAACCATGCATTTCGTTTAGGTATGAGGAATGTTTCATTATTAGGCATTGAACAAAACAAAAATAATATAGTAGAGCTTACCTGTGAACCTAATCGATATTTACATATGATATGATAACTGAAGTAGTGCTATTTATTTAAGAAGTTATGGAATTATAAAAAAATATGCACAACCATTTTCATAGTTATTAACAGAATGCTATTAAATCCTACACTTCCTATTCATTTAGTCTATTCCTAAAATAATAATAAGGTAGATAAGTTAGTAAATCTACTAGGTTATCTGAACTTGTATAAATTCTAATCAAAACATGAATCACTTAATTTATACACAATGCAAGTGATAAACTTTTATGGGTTAAACGAATACTAAAAACTGATTGATAAAATACAGAGTGATTTCTGCTTTTAAGCTACCTGAAGGTTCTAGAACATATTTACTTTGGAATAGTCAGTACACACTCCTGAAGACACAATAGTTCTTCAGAACATCCTAGTATTTGAGGAATCTTTAGGTGATTCCAGCTGAAGATTAAAATCAATCTTAAAATTAGCTTACAAGTTTTAGTAGTAATATTCACAACCCATACTTAACTACTTAAGCGAAGGTGTATGTTCTGAAAACGTGCACGTTGCAAAGGAAAATGGATAAGAATGGGCTGAAAGGAATTAAAATACTGAAAGTCTTAAATATCTTCCCTATATAAAACTAAATTATATTATTCATAGATAAAGCATATAACGATAACAAACAGTTAGAAGACATCCCTTATAGACAGATAATTCTAGGATGATTTGAATTAATAAAAAAGTGATAACTTAGTAGCTTCAAAAACAAATAGGTTAGACTCAAATTTGAAATTACACAAATAACCAATAAAATGTTAACTAATTTAGTCATCGAAGTTTGCCAGAAAATTCAGTATGCTTTTCAAGCTGTGATTCCTTATGATAATGTAGTTTATTAAAGTTGGGTTAACTGGAAATCACATTACAGATTCTAGATATAAAGCACATCTAAAGCCCTACAAAAAAATATTGTACTGTACTATATTGATGTCTTCTAACCAGAGACACTAAAAAAGATTTGAAGTAGGGATATTTCATCATATAGTAAGTACTCTTGAAGTGAACAGAGATATATGCAGTGCTTATTTAAAAATAAAGATATTATGCTGTATAAGCTTACGTTGGATAAATAAGTGATCTGGAAATGTAGATCGTCCATCGTCACATAATCGGTTATCAGCTGAATTATCGTTGCTGGATGAGCAACAGTTAGACGACTGACTATCGTGAAAACAAATGGAGCTTTCAGAATTTCGACCAGCGAAATCAAGATTTTCAGGGGAAATAGAGTGCTCTGCAGGTTTATCTGTTACTAAAGTATAGCTTTGTATTCCATTACGACATATTAGTTGATAACTTCGACTAGGAGTTGACGGAGTTGATAGGTTATTAGCCCTAGTTCCACACTTTAGTTTGGCTCCTAGTTGTTGATGATAAACAGCTGGTGTTGGCGACTTAACTGAAGCACCACAATAATTCGATAATTCCGATGTAAATCCACTGCCCGGTATAGACCCGATAGTCGAATTTCGCATAAAACTAGCTAGTACATTATCGCCTTGACTTTTACTGTCATCTTTTGCTTCTTCTCCTGTTTCTACTCCCGATTTCTCTTGATTTTCTGTTATGTTTGCCTTACAGAAATTCATCTGCGTTGGCGATGTTGAAGATAAAGATAATAATAGCGAAGGTAGCAATGGTGTACACTTATTAATTTCTAAGTTATACTTATCAATGGAATTACTCCCATTTACTGAAGCACTATTGTTCGTTTCCCAAGATGAGATATTGGAACTTGGGGCTGAATCATCTGATAGATAGTTCCCACGTTTGTTACTGCCATCACCAATATTAATCTGTGCTTGATCTTCTTCAATATTTATATAATTTTCATCACCTGTTATAGCTTTCAATGATAAGCATGTAGAATCTGATTGACTACGAACTAGACCATTGCCACTGTTTATAGAATCACTAGTAGTATAAATGATTTCAGGACCTGATTGTACGGGATAACAATCAGTAGATGTTACTAAACGCAACAATGGGTCATTTTTTGTTACAGTAGACTCTAAGTGCTTACGTATTCGACTAGGATAATATCCAAAGCAGTTACGGCTGAACTGTACACCAGTAGATGGAGTCAGAGAGGTTTTTTCCTTATTGCTGTTACTACTACAATTACCATCACGTTTATTACTTGGCATACATGTACCAAATGCAGAAGATGATAAACTGGCATGACGAAAATGTGGTCTACACCGCATCAGATTACTGCCACGTGAATAGGATGGACAACTTGTTGGTATTGTAGGATTTACGTTTCTAGAATTCAGCAAACTATCTTGGAAATTAGTACTGCCAACTGTTGTTGTTGTTGTTGTTGTTGAAATGACTGCATTAACTGCAGAAGTTATTGACTGATTACATCTACTATTGGTATTATCAACATTTCCGGAAGAAGTACATATGCTCCCTTCTGAATTATTTGTCTTCGTATTATGTATAATAAAATTGTCGGTATCGTGAATTTTGAAACAGTTGAACGATGTCATATTTGTAGAAGATTTAAGGGTTCGCAAATAAAGACATTATATTAGTGGTGATAGTTGTAAATGTAGACAAAGGGAAATAGTAAAGCTGACATTTTATGTGAGATAAATATTGAAGGGAATAATGAAGAGTAAATGTGATATGATTAGTTCTTATCACTCTTCACATATGACATTGATTTAAGGAAATTAAATTATCCAATCATATGAGGGAAACTGAGTAGACTTTTAGGTGGAACATTACGCATTTATGAATATAATTCCGATTCATCACAGAGATTATTAAATCTGAGCGAGTATAAGAGCCTTTGCCAATGGTTATTTCGCTCGTATTACTATTATCGTAATCATTAAACAGGAATCGAACAGTCAAATCAATCACACAGGTATATAAAGTTAACTGTCTGACCATGCAGGTAAGAAGAGATTCTAACATATCATCAATAGGACTGATACAATACATTCATGTTGAAGAATGAGAATTTGTGCATTTATTTACATACATATAGGCAGACCATAGGTCATACCCACACTACACACATAACGTAAAGTTGTATGCATACAAAATCTAAAAAAACTAAACTGCCACTGTTAACACACGATTAGTAATATTTTCCACTTGAAATCCATAACAGAAATGCACAATTTCACAAACATACGAGGAGATATAGACACCTAATATGTAAACACATGTGTATCCAACACAAAAGTAACCACAAATGGAAATTCGTTACAGAACGCACTCTCTTAAATCCCAAAAGGGAAAAAATTTGAACAAGTAAAATAAGTTATTGCTATGAGAAAAAAATTACAGTACTAATGAACATAATCATAATCAATCAAACAACCAGCACACTAATGTTGATAATGATAATAATAATAATAAAAACCAATTGGACGAAATGTATGAAGGTGTCAAGAGTCAAAAAGGGAGAGAGAAAAAAACGATATTGGTTGTAAGATTAACTTGCCTATCCCCAACCATATTATTACTGCCCACAATTTATTTCACACATAAATACACTTCAAAATGAATATGCATACTTAGTAAGCATAGTTGAAACTAAAATAACACGATAAGTGACATTACTGTATGAGACTGCATATACACATTGATTGTCTGTCTATCGTTTAAAGGTTGTATTCACAAGCATATAAATGACTAATCGAAAGTGCCCTTTTTAATGGGATTTTAACACAGACACATCGGGGAACATATTAGAAAATCATTTACTTACTTTTAATAACAGAAATTACAGTACCGTTTGTAGATTAACTGAAATAAAACCATGTTATGAAAATAAGTGTTAAATGATATTTTGAAGAGATCTGAATAACACTCGATAGTACATTTGAAGAAAGCGAGAATTAATTTCAGAGGATTTAATAAGTCATAAAAGTGGAAAGCTCAGGCAATAATACCGTTTCCTACTGAGAACATCGACCGAACTATTTACAAAAAACTCCGATACACTTTCATAACATCATTTATTACACATGACAGTAATAATGTTTCACTGAAGTATATACATTCTGAAAAAAATAGCACAGAATATTGACCACAAGGTAAGTATATTTTATTGAATACATATCAATACTTTATAAACTTAAATATTATTTACTTAGAGTACACACAATGCATTCGAGGTATCAAAGTTTGAATTAGACAAAAGTTTGTAACAAAATTGTGAGTAAGTAGGAGAAAAATAGCAATTACTGGAAAAGAAAAATTGTTACGTATGATATATTTAGAAGTCTTACAATGTTATATGTGGCTATCAACAGAGTTTCAGATAAAATACTCAATTCCCGTGAGCAAAGGGTAGAAAAGACCTACACTTTTAACTAGGGCAACGATAAACATATGAATGTTCAGCTCTTACTTACGAGTGACTAAGAGAAATACTTCATGACCAAAGAGTAATTAAAGCTGCATTGACAGTTAAGTTTCATCATTCAGTTAGAGATGTAGTGGTTGTCATCGAGGATTTGTTAAAACTTCAATGTACATACGGTTGCCAGGTGTTGTTAAGACCAGTGCATTTGTGAGTATACATTTAAAGTACTTTAGAAAAGTGAAGAGTCTTCTGGTCATTTTGAGCGACAATGCAAACATGTTCAAGATGCTATTCTCCCTGGCTAAATACAAAATGTTGCTTCAGCACTGAGTTGCATCGGCACCTACACTAGTGATAGAAAGTGAAGAAGTCAAGCGTGTTGACCGCCTCACCTATCTCAAGAGTCTCATCAGTGCTGAAAGCCTTTAGTGTGACGAAGTATCAGCACGGATACAGAAGGCTCGATTGGCTTCAGCCAAATTGTGAGATATCCGTTTACTGACTAAAGGATGAGTGTACTGCGCAGCAGTTTGCTCTGTTCTCCTACATGGATCCGAAACATGGCCGGTGAGAGTAGATATTCGTAGGTTATTAGTATTCCATAATAGATGTCTCCGAAGCATTGCTCGTTAATCTTGGGACAATCATGCTGTCGTTGGAAACGAGTACTAGGTAACCCGACCGTAGCTGCTACCTTGACGTGGTGGTCAGGCTTGCCTATCGTGATGACCCAACCGAGCTATACTGGCTGGAACATATGCTACTCAAGGTTCTACCATGCCAGACAGGTCGATTAGAGAACGATGAGACTAAAAGCAGCTACCCAAGGTCTGAGGGCGAAGTCGTACTGCTGACTGCAGAGGGGTGTGACAGCAGTAAGGTGTTTCCCTCGGACAACCAGCATCTGCAGCGATGCTGCCTTCTCACAAGGAAGGAAGGGTTAGAAAAGGTCGGCCCTAAAAATGTCACACCTCCCCTAACTCACGGATTTCCGTCTCCTTGGGTAAGGGTGCCCACTAAGGGTCTTTAAGAACGGAGCTAATCCTCAAAAAACATTTGATAAAAAGGCCGTGCGTGACCGGCCTCAAGCAGTTGTCCCTTGGGCTCTGCGGTCACGCACCAACACTAATCTATCTTCCTTTTCAGGTTCCTCAAGAAACACCCTTCCACGGTGTGGGCAGCCGGGAAGTGACAACCGCCCTCATACCCATAACAGCACGCGAGACCAAATTGGTCAAAATCAAATCCTTCCTACACCCCCTAGTACCTCTCTAATCTCCACGACTAACTCTTCTCACATTCATTCATCACAGTGCACAGCTAATGCAAACGATACGAGTTCGCGAAACGTCGTTCCTGGTCTCCTTAAACCTCGCTCTAGACTACATGTTGGAGCATTCAATGTACGGACATTGTGTCAAATAGGGCAACAGGCATCATTAGCTAGGACTTTAGAATCTCGTGCCATCGATGTATGCTGCGTCTCGGAAACGCGCATACAGGATCCGAGTCGCGTCATACACTTGGCCACACCATGTCAAAATAAAGAGGCAGCTCGACTTACTCTTCGTGTATCCGGTAGCTCTGATGCTGCTTCTAGGGGCCTCGCCGGTGTAGGTATAGCATTGAGTCCTAGGGCAGAACAATCTCTCCTTGACTGGATCCCTGTAGATAGTCGTTTGTGCGCCGTCCGACTAAACGGGACAGTAAGGATTCGAAAGGATAGGGACAATCGCCGTTGCCTCTTCATCGTATCTGCCTATGCCCCCACTGAATGCAGTTCAGACGAGGTTAAGGATGAGTTTTACAGAAAGCTTTCGGACCTCCTCTAAAAAGCTAGGCGCTCTGATATAGTAATAATGGCTGGTGACTTTAATGCTCAAGTAGGTAGACAGAGTGAAAATGAAAGACACATGGGTGGATCTTATGGTGTCCCGGCTCAGAGAACAGACAATGGTGACTGTCTGTTGCAAGCATGCTCAGACAACCGCCTATTCTTAGCGAACACTAACTTTAGGCATAAGGAAAAGCATCTGTTGACCTGGCGACCTCCAAAGTCGTCTCAACGTTGGACTCAACTAGATCACATCGCCATCAGCCACCGATGGAGGGGTTCGATAGAGGACTGTCGCTCGTTCTGGAGCACATGTCTAGATTCAGATCATGCCCTAGTGCGAGCGCGTATTTGTTTGAAGCTAACTAGGCGTAGGAAAGACACCGTAAAAAAGCCTCTTAGGGTTTTACTTAATGATAATAAGGCGAAAAATATATTTCAGGAACAACTAGAAAGACAGATAGGCGACCATTTAAGCGATTCCCATCCGGAAGCAGGATGGAATGATATCAAAAAGGCTGTGGAAACAGCAGTGATATCTGCTAGTAAGGTTGACCATAAGGCTAGAATGAAACCGTGGATCTCAGTAGCATCCACCGATCTGATGGATGCCCGAAAACTCATCCCACCTGGCTCTGAACATGATCAAGAACGAAGTCAACTTAGGCGCAGACTTATAAAAAACCTACGTAACGATCGCGAACAGTGGTGGGTGGCGAAAGCAAAAGCGATGGAAAAGACAGCGGCGATCGGCAACAGTAGACAACTTTTCCGCCTTATTACAGAAACTGGTATTAGGAATCCTAGTGTAAGTGAGACTATCTCAGAAAATGACGGGACTCTCATTTATTCTCAATCCAGGAGACTGGATCCATGGGCAGAACACTTTAGGGATCAGTTCAACTGGCCTCGAGCCACTCTTCAGTTATCCACGATCCCCAGTCATCCTGAATGGCAAATCGACCTAAGTCCCCCTAGTCTTAATGAAGTTGAAAAAGCGTTAGGTAATCTGAAGCGAGGACGAGCAGCAGGTCCTGATAGACTGACCCCTGAGATATTTAAGGATGGTGGTCCAGTTTTAGCAGCTAGATTGACTGAGAGTTTAGGTAGAATATGGGAACTGGACGTAATCCCATCCGACTGGTCTCAATCACTGATTGTCCCAATTCATAAGAAAGGAAAAAAGTTTTCTTGTGACAATCACAGGGGAATAAGTCTAACTAATATAGTTTCTGAATTGTTAGCCTCCATTATACTTAGACGCCTTACTAGTGCTCGTGAAGAGCAGACTCGTGAAAACCAATCTGGTTTTCGACCTGGACGTGGCTGTA